TACCCCTCCTTGCCATGCACTCAGAGTGCCGCTGGACTTGGCCACAAGGCCACCGCCTCTGCTTGAGGCTGCCATGAAAGGAATGGGAGGGACCGGGCCCCCTGCCTTCCACTGTGCCCTTTCTACAGCCCCTAAATGCGCTGCCCAGCCGCTGGGGCCCGGCGTGACGGCGGCTCTTTGAAATCACCTGCGGCTCCTGAATAGCCCCTCGGCCGCCCTCACCTCCCTGGTCACCTAGGGCCTTTCTGCCCTCTCCCCACATAAGAGCCACAAACAAGCTGACCGGCTTTGCCTTTTGGGAACTGGTCAGCAAGCCAAGGTCTGTGTTCTGAGCAAGTGCGGGGTGAATGGTTAGCAGCCGAGGACAAAGGCCACCTGGAGGGGACAGCTCCCCGTCCTTCCCCTCGACAGTTCCTGTCTTAGTTTTCCTTTCTTTTCTTTCTGTCTTTTTTAAGGCTCTGCTCTGGATTACTCTTATACAACATAGTCGCGCTTCAGCAGGTCCTTAAAAGATGGTCTTTAGAAAATACAGACAGATCACGTCAAGCCCCTTATAAGGCCCTTGGGCACCCCCACTGCACCCTGGCTGGGCACCGGGCTCTGGTGGACACACCTGCTGTGCCCTCTGGCCACTGGCCATCTCTAAGTGTCCCATGGAGTGTGCATTCCAGGCAGGGAAGCTGGCTCTAACGTACGGGGGGCGGGGGGGGGGAGGAGGTGGTGGTTTCAACCCCAGGAGGAAGCAGAGCAGCGTGAGGGTGATGGGCATGTGACTTCCCAGAGAGGCCAAAGGCGGCCTCTGAGAGGACGATGTTCGGGGGGATCCTGGGAGATGGGGGAAGGAGGCCAGTTAAAGACCTGGGAAAGGGCCGAGGGAACAGTAAGTACTGGCAAAGTGAGGCTAATGTCCACGGCATCTGTGCCAGCTCATCACCCGCCCGCCCGGCACTGCCGTTACTGTACCTGGGACTGCTGTGTCTGGACCACCGGCCCCTGCTGCGGTGTGTGAAGGTCGCGGAGGCCGGGGCGCAGGCACATGAGGGGGCAGCACTGTCCAGCTGCCTGCCTGTGGCTGCTCCTACTTCCGCGTCACTTTTGGCCCATGCCTCCCTGGTCTCGTGAGCAGATCAAAGAAGGCGGTTTGACCTTCTCTCTCCACCTGGGGCTTAGATCTCTTAGGCCTGGACACTGGGGTCGGAGTGGGGGGTGCTGGCCTTGGGTAGAGAAGGGCCAGTGGCACCGAGTGCAGGCGGCAGCCAGGTGTCCTCCTCCTACTGGTAGCTCCGTTTTCAGTGACTTCTGCTGCTAATTTTTGGTCCTTTTGGCACTACCCTGTCACCTTTTCTGGTTTCCAGTTCTTGAGAGGCACGTGGCCTCCTGCTTAGGAGCTACCCAGCCTAGACGGTCTCCCAGCCCCGCGTCTCACTAGCTGCATGGCTTCTGCGAGGGACTTAGCCTTTGCCCTTCTGCACCTTCCTTCCCTCAAGTCTGAGGTGGGCTTAATCATAACCTTCTTCTTAGGACTGTTGTGAGAATTAAATAGGTTGATGGGTATGAGGTGCTTAGATATGCATGTTATAGATATATGTATGTATATATGTATGTATATGTATATAATACACACACACACACACACACACACACACACACACATATATATATTTATATATATGCCTAAGTGACTGGCTGACCGGGACCAAAAGTAGCTATGACGCACACTGACCACCAGGGGGGCAGATGCTCAACGCAGGAACGGAAACCACAGGCGTGGAAACATGGAACAGACTGATGACTCTCAGAGGAAAGGAGGGAGGGGGGAGGGCGGGAAGAGATTAACCAAATATCTTATATTCATACTAGAGCAGCGGTCGCCAACTGGTGGTCCGAGGACCACTGGTGGTCCATGGGGTCCGAAAGGTTGATGACCGCTGTACTAGAGGCCCGGTGCACGGTGCCCTCTCGCAATCCAGGACCCCTCGGGATTATCAGAGAGTCGGGTTCGGCCCAATCCCCGCAGGACAGGCTGAGGGACCCTTCTGGTGCACAAATCCGTGCACCGGGCCTGTAGTTGCTATATAACAAACCACTCCAAAGCATAGTGCCTTATGATAGCAACCTCATGTACTTTGCTCATGAACCTGCTTGGGGCAGGGTTTGGGAGGGGCAGCTTCTCTGCTGCCCACACTGTCCGTCTGGACACTTGACTAGAGCAGAGATGGCTCATTCAACTGACTGGCAAGTTGGTGCTGCCTGTGGGCCGGGAGCTCAGCTCATCTGGGCTGTGGCCAAGGGACCTTGGGCCTCCTCGTGGGCCTCTCCACCGGCTGTGTGGGCTTCCTCAACATGGTTCCAAGAGCAAGGGCCCCAAGAGAAAAAGGTGGAAGTAGCCTGGCCGGTGTGGCTCAGTGGTTGAGCATCGACCCATGAACCAGGAGGTCACAGGTTTAATTCCTGGTCTGGGCACATGCCCGGGTTGCAGGTTCAATCCCCAGTAAGGGGCGTGCAGGATGCAGGTGATCAGTGATTTTCTCATTGATGTTTCTATCTCTATCCCTCTCCCTTCCCCTCTCTCTAAAAATCAATAAAAACATTTTTTTAGAAAAGGTGAACTAGAAGCATCAACTTAGACGTCAGAAGTGTCACATCTTCCGTCCTGTCGGTCAAAGTAGTTGCAGAGATTCCCTGGTCTCGAGGGGCAGAGGCACAGGCTCCACCTCTTTGTAGGGAAGGTTCCAGAAGAGCAGGGGGCGTGAAAGGGAATGCTGTGGCTGCCTTTGGAAAATAAAGTCTGCCACGGAATAGATTTGAAATGGGATTCTTTATCCTCGTGCAGGGGGTGATTAGGAGTGTGCATTATGGGGAGCCAAGTTCTCATCACAGATGTTCTTCCTCTGTGTCTCGGTGTCACTGCTGACAGTGTCAGTGGAGACACTTGGGAGTTGTGACAGCAGGTGTAAGTATAAGGATCTTCATGGGCGCCGATTCTGGAAATGCTCAGGGGTGGGTGTCGGGCAGAGCCAAGGCTGCAGCTCTGGCCACCTCTGTCACCGTTCTGTTCTCGGGCAGGCTTTCCCCACGTGGTGGCCGAGGCAGCTGCCTGCAGCAGCGGGGAGAGAGCCCCTCCCCAGTTTCAGCCCTCCCTGGCCGGTCGTGGGGCAGCACCCCTGCCTGAACCAGCCTGTCCGGGGGAGGTGAGGGGCTCTCATTGCACCTGGGCCACCGGCCCAGGAGCCAGGGGTGGATTCGGCCAGAGCCGAAGAATGTTCTCCAAAGGCTGATGGGGCAGCACAGGAAAGGGCATGGGGTCAGCATGCAGAAGCCACAGGTGACCCCGTACCAAGGAGCAAATCCAGTTGTTGTTAATCCTGACCCGAGGATATTTTTCCTTGGATTTTTAGAGAGAGTGGAAGGGACGGGGAGAGACACAGAGAGAGAAACATTGATGTGAGAGAGACACATGGATTGGTTGCCTCCTGCATGCACCCTGACCAGGACCAGGGATCGAGCCTGCAACCTAGGCACGTGCCTTTGACTGGAATTGAACCCGGGATCCTTCAATCCACGGGCCACCATTCTAACCACTGAGCAAAACTGGCTAGGGCCAAATCCAGTTATTTTTCATTTTTGACTAAGTAGAATATTAACACACTTCCAAAAGCCAAAAGTAAACAAAAAGTAGGAGGGATACTTCTGCCCCGTTTCCCACCTCTCTTGTGGGTAACCGATTTCACTGAGTTCTAACTTCTCTTCCTCTTTTTCTTTTCTGTATAGTGGGTAGCTGTATGTTTTCGCTTCCTCCCTTTTTTTACACCAAAGATATTTGTGCTCTTGTGTACTTGCTTTTTCACTTAACAAGACAAGGAAAAATATTGTTACGTAGCCATACTAATTCTTGCTGTCCTGGTGCGTGGGGCGGAGATTGACGTATAAGTGATGGTGCGCCTGTCAGAGCACGCGAGGCGGCGGCCAGCCCTTTCCTCTGGGGAACAGCGTCTCTGTGCTCTTCTCCTGGGCTGTGCGTGACTCTCTCTCCTCTTCCACTGCAGATGGAGGCAGCTATCCCGTCCCCGGCTCCCAGGCCTCCAGCCTGAGCTCAGAGGGCGAGAGTTTCCCCTCGAGCCCCACTGGACACAACTGGGAGATGAATTACCAGGAGGCGGCCATCTACCTCCAGGTGAGCATCTCTGGGTCAGGACTTGGCCCTTCTTGGTGGTGTCGGGAGGCAGGGCTCTGTTGGCTGCCCAGGAATTTGGTTCCGGCTTCGGTTCTCTGTGCGTGAGCTTCTCGCCTTACGGTGGGGAGAGCCAGCCTGATGGTGCCTGCACTGGACGGGCGATGTACGTGGGCTCGTCAGGTGACCCCAGCTTGTGGCTCCACCTGCCCCCAGGCTCCCTGAGTCCAAAGCCATCCACCTAGTAAGTTGCAGAGCGTGGATGTAAACTTCATCTATCTAGTCTCCAAGTGATGGTCTTTCTTCTATACATTGTTGCCTCATTTCTATAGCTACCACATGTATGCACTTGAAAATGAGCCGTGTGGTTGTGGGAAAAGAGGTTACAAAACAGGACTTATATGAGCATTGTTGTATAGCATTTATGTACACACACACACACACACACAAACCCATATATTGCTGTTTATATAGATACTAGAGGCCGATGCACAAAATTCGTGCACGAGTAGGCCTTCTTTCCCCCGGCTGCCGGCACTGGCTTCCCTCTGGCACCCAGGACCTGGGCTTCCCTTGCAGCCCCGGCTTCGTCTGGAAGGTCGTCCGGTTTAATTAGCATATTATGCTTTTATTATTTTAGATGTACTAGTATATAGCTACAGATACCTGTGTGTGTGTGTGTGTGTGTGTGTGTGTGTGTTTGCACAGACACCCATTCACATCTGGAAAGTTGTTTATCTCGATATATATTTTTTTTTTAAATATACTTTATTGATTTTTTTACAGAGAGGAAGGGAGAGGGATAGAGAGTTAGAAACATCGATGAGAGAGAAACATCCATCAGCTGCCTCCTGCACACTCCCTACTGGGGATGTGCCCGCAACCAAGGTACATGCCCTTGACCGGAATCGAACCCGGGACCCTTGAGTCCGCAGGCCGACGCTCTATCCACTGAGCCAGACCCGTTAGGGCTATCTCGATATTAAAGGTGATTATATTTAGCTGATGGAATTTTTACAACCTTATAATCCTGTGTATTATTTGAATGAGTTTTACCCAAAATGCACCTTTAAAAAAAAAAATCAGAGCAGAACTGCGATCTCCATGAGCAGTATTTGTGGCTGTTTCTGGAGGGTGGGCTGAGCCGCTGTCGGATGGTCTTCCTCTTCCTGCTTCGTGCTGAGCTGCAGCGCAGATCCTGACCAGGTGGCTGCAGACCCTGACCAGGTGGCTGGTGTACTTGGCTCATCGGCCCCTTGCTGCTAGAGGCTGCCTGGCCCCTGCAGTTTCTCCTCTTCCCAGAGTTTATCTGTCAACTCCATCACCTCGGGAGCCGGGTGTCAGCGGTCGTAGTGCCTCCGAGATGGTTCTTGTTTGCTGTGTGGGCTTCTCCTCAGGGAGCGGAGAGTGGAGGCCTGGACGTCACGTAGCACTGGCCGCCTTCTTATTTTTCGTAATCTCCTTCACGATCAGCAGCCAGGAAACAAGGCCCTTGTTCTCCCTCCTTGGGGTCTGGCGCAGCACCCAGTGACCCGGGTCATATTTCACTCCGTGCTCATTGGTGGTGGCCTCAGCCTCCACCTCCTCGGTGGCCATTCCGAGTCCCAGAGTTAAGCTTGAGCCCCCCCCTCCCCCCCCCAGTGGTTTCTGCTAGTCAGACCTTCCCTGCTGGCTGCTTGTGGGAAGAAATGTCCCAAGAATTGCATTTTTTAATCATCCAAACCAGAAGCGTCCAGGCCGCCATGGGCATCTCGCCATGGGGCAGCGTGAAAACCACAGCCCTGCGCAGATCACAGGGCCGGGAGCCAGGCCTGCCCCCTGCCCTCTGTGTGACCGCCGGCGTGTTTGTTCCCTCCGTCGACCTGCCCCGTCCAGTCTGGTTTGTCTTCATGTTTTGGTACTGAGGGTAGTGACGCATCCAACTTCAGGAAGCGACTTCTTCAAAGCTCCTTGGTAAACCACAGTCGCGGCCAGCGCTGCCCGCCTCCCAGCTACTGGGTGAATGGTCGCCGAGCGGGGCTGGTGTCGGGAGAAGTGGTCTCTTGCAAAACGGTTCATCCTACCAAACATCTATTAAACACCTACTGTGTGTACCAGACGCCATCCCAAGTGTCTTCCCGGAGCCCCGTGAGGAAGGGGAGAGCCGTCTCGCTGACAGCTGGAGAGGGGGTAGCCCAGGGAGGTGTGGGGCAGCCCGTGCTTGCTGATCCCGGGACCCCCCACCCCCAGCTCTTTACATTCTACAGACATTTCTGAGAGTGAGCACTTGGCCTCGAGGGACCAGTTGTGCCCAGTTCTCTACTTTCTCTGGACCTTTTTTTAAAAACACATCTTTATTGATTTCAGAGAGGAAGGGAGAGGGAGAGAGAGAGAGAGAAACATCAATGATGAGAGAGAATCATCGGTCGGCTGCCTCCTGCACGACCCCCCACCCCGATAGAGATTTAGTCTGCAACCCGGGCATGTGCCCTGGCCGGGAATCGAACCTGATTCATAGGTTGACACTCAACCACTAAGCCACTCTGGCTGGGCTGGGCTTTTTTTTGTTGTTGTTAATCCTCATCTGAGAATGTTTTTTCCATTGATTTTTAGAGAGTTGAAGGGAGGGGGAGAGACAGAGAGAGAGCAACATTGATGTGAGAGAGACATCAATTGGTTTCCTCCTGCACAACCCTGACCAGGGCCGGAAGTGAGCCTACAACTGAGATGGGTGCCCTTGACTGGAAATGGAACCCACGAACTTCAGTCCATGGGCCAACACCCTAACTCAGTGGTCGGCAAACTGCGGCTCGCGAGCCACATGCGGCTCTTTGGCCCCTTAAGTGTGGCTCTTCCACAAAATACCGACTTCTACGCATGGGCCACGAAGGAAGGGAGAGGGAGAGAGAGAGAGAGAAACATCAATGATGAGAGAGAATCATCGGTCGGCTGCCTCCTGCACGACCCCCCACCCCGATAGAGATTTAGTCTGCAACCCGGGCATGTGCCCTGGCCGGGAATCGAACCTGATTCATAGGTTGACACTCAACCACTAAGCCACTCTGGCTGGGCTGGGCTTTTTTTTGTTGTTGTTAATCCTCATCTGAGAATGTTTTTTCCATTGATTTTTAGAGAGTAGAGGGATGGGGGAGAGACAGAGAGAGAGCAACATTGATGTGAGAGAGACATCAATTGGTTTCTTCCTGAACAACCCTGACCAGGGCCGGGAACCCACGACCTTCAGTCCACGGGCCAAACCCTAACCACTCAGCAAAACCGTCTAGGGCCCTCTGGACCTTTAATTCTTTGATTCCTCCACGTGGTTTTTAGGAATCAGCAAGCCTTTTAAGCCCCATCAGCAGGCCAGGGCGAGACTTAACTGCACGGTTTGTGGCCATAAGACTAGAATTTCCATCGTCTTCCGTCTCTGGCCTGAACCTCCTCTTACCCGCTAGGCCCTTCCTCTCACCCTGGCCCACGGCGCAGCCTTGGTGCTGTGCTCAGAGGCTCGCCGCCCCTGTGGCTCTTGTTTCCGCAGGAAGGCGAGAATAACGACAAGTTCTTCACCCACCCCAAGAATGCCAAAGCGCTGGCGGCCTACCTCTTCGCACACAACCACCTCTTCTACCTGATGGAGCTGTCCACGGCCCTGCTGCTGCTGCTGCTGTCGCTGTGCGAGGCCCCTGCCGTCCCCGCGCTCCGCCTCGGCATCTACGTGAGTGTCCTGATGGCTGGGAGCCGCTGCTCCCTGCGGGCAAGCGCCAGGAACCTCGCTTGGGCTAATGCAAGCTTAAGCTTAAAGGGGAACTTTCTGGAAGGGCAGACAGTGCAAATGGATTGAAAACAGGCCCTGGGAGGCCCTCGAGGCCTCGGGAGCAGCAGTGACTCTCTGGTCCTCTGGGGGTCCCTGTGGAGCGAATGCACTTTCCTCACTCAGTCTGACTGTGATTCTGCTCGCTTGCTCGGAAGTGCCAGGGGAGGGTGCCATCTGATGGCCTCACTTGGGACCAGCGGCCACACCTCGGCGCCAGGTGGGCAGCACACAGCACACCCGATGGCAGTCCCTCCCACTCTTTCCAGCCTCAGGAGAGGCGGTCGGGTGCGATGGCCAGCGGAGGACAGGGGTCCGGCGATGCCATGTCTCCGCACCCTGTGGTTGCAGGTCCACGCGACCCTGGAGCTGTTCGCCCTGATGGTGGTCGTCTTTGAACTCTGCATGAAGTTGCGGTGGCTGGGCCTCCACACCTTCGTCCGGCATAAGCGGACCATGGTCAAGGTGGCGTGTCCATCTCCTTACAGCATTTTCTCCCCTGGCACCTTCAATCCCGACTCTTCACTTCACTTCCAAATCCCCCGACGCTCGGTAGTGTAACCCGGGGTCCCCACCCTCGCTGCGCCCCAGCCTCGCAGAGCCGTGCTCCGAGGTCGCGGCCACGGTCACGCTGACAGCAGCTGGTGTGATTCGGAATTTGGGGCGCCGAGCACGGGCGCGGTAACCCTCGCGGCAGATGCATTACTATTCCTAGTTCACATCCAGCCACAGCAGAGAATGGGATCTAATCCCAGCGAGAATGGGATTCAAACCCAGGTCTGGCTGGCCTCCAAGCCCACGCCGACCTGTAAGCAGCATCGGACACGTTCTCTCTGTGCTGCAGAGAGAGGCACGAGTAGGAATGCGTCCGAGTGGCACTTTGCAGTGTAAAAGGCATGCACAGTTGTCCAGAGAAAGTGCCCGAGGAATTGAAGAGCAAGGTGTGCTTCGGACCTATCTCAGAGGTCTTCACGGTGCAAGTCAGGAGAGCCGAAGCCAGGGTTGGTAGACGTGGCCGGGCAGAGTGGCAGGGTTTTTTTGTTTGTTTTTGTTTGTAAGAAATAAAGGAGCGGGGAGATGGAGAGAAACATTAATGTGAGAGAGACATCGATTGGTTGCTTCCCACACTCTGACCAGGGGTTTGAGCCTAGGTACGTGCCCTTGACCGAAGTCGAACCTGGGACCCTCCCATCTCCAGGCCAACACTCTGCACTGAGCCAAACTGGCGGGGGCAGTTTTTTTTAAAAAAATATGTTTTTATTGATTTTAGAGAGAGGAAGGGAGAGGGAGGGAGAGAGAGAGAAAAATCAATGATGAGAGAGAATCCTTGATCGGCTGCCTCCTGCATGCCCCCCCACTGGGGATCGAGCCCACAACCTCGGCATGTGCCCTGACCGGGAATCGAACTGTTACCTCCTGGTTCATGGGTCGATGCTCCATCACTGAGCCACACCGGCCGGGCTGAGTGTCGAGTTGCTCAGTGAATACCCTCTGAGGTGCTGCTGGGAGCATTGCTCTCTAGGTCATCCTCCTGCAACCACACACCAGTGCCACTGCCCAGGGCCCTTCCCCAGGGGCTACTGGATGTTGGGGGCGGGCGCTAGAGAGAAGGGATGGGCCTCCCGAGACCAGGGTGGGCATTCCCTAGCGAGCCCTGAGCTCAGGGTATTCGGGAGGCGTCTGGGCGGAGGAGCTGACACTGCTCTTTGCCTGTCCGCCCCCAGACCTCCGTGCTGGTGGTACAGTTCATCGAGGCCATCGTGGTGCTGGTGCGGCAGACGTCCCACATGCGGGTGACCCGGGCGCTGCGCTGCATTTTCCTGGTGGACTGTCGGTACTGCGGTGGCGTCCGGCGGTAAGGCCTGGGGGAGGAGCTGCTCAGACAGTCGCTATCCTGACCTGGCCTGGACCCCTGGGCCAGTGGAGCAGGACCCAGTGAGTCAAGTAGCCATAAGATCCATCCTGCACGTCGGTAGAGTCTAACTCAGCACGCTCACCTCCCTCTGCCTCTCGACCCCACAGAGAGGAAGGCTATTCCCCCTGAAGCTTAGGTGTCCCGACCCCAGGCCTACATCCCAGCTTTCTCTAAGCAGAGGGGCTGGCTCCTCTCCAGGCACATTATCTGCCCAACACAGCAGCAGCAGCGCTCGTAGCAGGCAGCTTGGCAAAAGGTCCACGTGACTCAGGCTGTCCTGGTGCCTCCCCCGAGACCGGGGCACTGCACCCGAACAGGCCGTCAGCCTGGAGTTAGACTGAGCTTTGAGGTCCATCTGGAGAATCCATTGGCTGGGGGACTGTTGATAAGAATGGGCTGGCAATTCATTCCCTGTGCATCCTCAACGCAGGACACAAGTGTCCTAGGGCCAGGTGGCCCCGAGCTGTCTCCATGCCCCCACTTCTCGGGGAAGCGACCTCTGCACCGAGTCTGTGCCCTCAGCCTTCTGCTGCCCCCGCCACACACACACAGGGAACACCCCGCTGGACCCCGCAAACGGGAGGAGGGGGTGTCTGTGCTGCACCTGCCTCCCTTCTCCCTGTCACCACTGAGTGCAGGTCCTGCAGGACAGCACTGAGTGTGATGTCACCAAGCCGGGGCGCAAGGGGGGTTAGTGTTCCGAGTCAGGAGCACCAGACCCGGGTCTCCATGAGTGCGTGTTCCCCTGAGGAGTCCGGACTGTGCTCCTCGGGCCCACCCCGGGCTGCACCTCACCCCCGCTCCCCAACCCCCCTGTCTCCCCAGCAACCTTCGGCAGATCTTCCAGTCACTGCCACCCTTCATGGACATCCTGCTGCTGCTGCTCTTCTTCATGATCATTTTCGCCATCCTCGGTGAGTTCCCTGCGCCGGGGCCAGGCCGTCTCTAAAAGCAAAGTCACCATGGGAGGAAAGCTTACTTTGATAGTTTTGGAAATTCAGAAAGGTTTTACAAGTGATATAAACAGCCCTAGCTGGGTTGTTCAGTGGTTAGAACGTTGGCCCGCAGACTAAAGGGTCATGGGTTCGAGTCCGGTCAAGGGTATGTACCTCGGTTGTAGGTTACAGGCTTGATCTCCAGGTTGGGGCGCATGTGGGAGGCAACCAGTCAATGTGTCTCTCTCATGTCGATGTTTCTTTCTCTGTCTCTCCCCCTCCCACTCTCTTTAGAAATCAATGGAAAAAATATTCTTGGGTGAGGATTAACAAAAACAACAACAAACAAAAACCAAATGATATAAACACCCAGGGACTCCAATTTAGGAAATGAAGAGTTAGAAATAAAAGGGAACCCCCTTTGTAGCCTTTCATGACCTTAATTGCCCCCCCCCCCCCAGGTGCCTGCATCCTAGGCTTAGCATTGCTACTTGTGTCTGTATAGTTTCACTTTATGCTTATGTTTCCTTAAGCAACACATAGATTCTATTATTGCTTTGCATATTCAAAATAGTTGTGTAAATGGTTACGAAACGTGGTGTCCCCTTCTGCAAGGTGCTCTTTGCTCAACACTAGGCATGTGACGTTTATTCATGTTGATGGATGCAGATGTCACAGGAGTGTAGTGAATGGGCCCAGATTTATTTATCTGTTCTCTTGTTGGTGGGCATTTTCCACTATCACAAGCCACAGGGCAGTGAACACTCATGTGTTTCCTGGCGGACACGTGGAGACTTTCCCTGCGGCACGCGGAGGGCTAGGGTCTGTGCACTTCAGCATCACTAGATAGAAGAGCAAGATCATGGCTTTCTGACCCCGAGGAGGCCTTGCCTCTTCAGATGAGGCCGAGGATTAGTGCGGCACCCCATGCAGGCACAGGGCTTCGCCAGCGGCGGTCCCGGCACGATGAGGAAGCTGAGGCCCCTCCTCAAGTCCTGGCGTGGCACAGCCAGTGGCCCATAGTGCTCTGACTCTACGGCCAGCCCCTGCGTCTGTGACTGGTGTGTCCCGAACTTCTGGCTCCCGTTCCACCTCCCTCCACCATCTGGGTGGCACTTCGTGCTCCAAGGGGGCTGACTTCCCCTGAGGGCAGACTTTCCCACTTTTCCCACAGGATTTCAAGGACTCAGGGGAATAGCCCATTCAAAGGAGGAAGTGAATGCCGTTCCCACCCCGGGACCCTTGGCTGTAGGGAAACAATGGAGTCCCTTTGGAATTATTACTTGGCCGGCACATTCTCAAAACCAGAGGTCTGGATTCCAAGTCCAGCCTATGCATGAGTTTTGTGTGGTCTGAAAATTTGGAGCCAGCATTTTAAAATCAGATTTTTATACAAAATGACAGATTTCCAACCTTTTTAGTACTACACTTGATGGTGCTCGGGCCACATTTCCGAATAGCTGCGGTTACCCAGTGCCCGGTAGCACCCGCTTCCTTTACTTCAGAGCATGTGTTCCCCAGAGTGCGCAGTTCCCACCATTCCCTATTGTCTCCCTCGGCGCACTGCTCTCATTTACGTGTATTGGTCCAATCCTTTGACATCTTTTCAATCTGTTTTCTGCTACCTTCCAGGTTTCTACTTGTTCTCCCCTAATCCTTCAGACCCTGTAAGTAATCATGCATGTTTTGTCCATTTCTTCCTTTATGTGAGGCCATTCCCCTCTGACAAGGTGGCTGGGCTGACTCAGTGGTCGGCAAACTGCGGCTCGCGAGCCACATGCGGCTCTTTGGGCCCTTGAGTGTGGCTCTTCCTAAACCTTAGGAGTACCCTAATTAAGTTAATAACAATGTACCTACCTATATAGTTTAAGTTTAAAAAATTTGGCTCTCAAAAGAAATTTCAATCGTTGTACTGTTGATATTTGGCTCTGTTGACTAATGAGTTTGCCGACCACTGCTTTAGCTACATTAGGGAGGGAGGCCTGCCTGGCTTTGCATCACAGCTGACGGCCCCTGAAAGTCCCCATCACCCCGACTTGAGCCGTTTTCCTTCCTTGCGCATTAAGGGGCGTGGTTTCCTACCCTGAGAGTCGTGTTTCCAAGATCAGATTTGGAACATGGGAACGTTTTGGTGGAGGTTACAGTGAAGGAGATCCAAGCTAATTGTGCAAACGTGATTTTCTGGGAGAAAAGTCCCAAAGTCACTTGTCTGCTTCTACTAGAAGCGTGGAGCTCAGGAAGGCGGAGTCCTTACTCCTGTTTGCTCATCCCTCAGGGATCCCGTGGGAGGAGGCAGAGTTGGTGGGGTGGGGCGGGGCGGGGAGGGCAGGGCACTCCGGGGGCCCATCGCAGGCTGGCCCAGGCTGCCGTGTGCGTTCTCTGGCTGGCCAGCATGCCCTTCTGCCTCCTTTCCCCAACAGTACTTCAGCACCCTGGAGAGCAGCATCGTCAGTCTGTTCGTCCTCCTGACCACAGCCAAGTGAGTGTGGGCTCTGCTCTGGCTGCTGCCCTCGGCTTGTGCCCAGGGTCTTCCCAGCCCAGGACATTCCCCGTCTCAGCCCAGACAGTGCTCGGGGCACTGGGAGGAATGGGGGTGGCCTGGTGACTCTGGCCCGTGGGCTGAGAGCCAGGACGGTGGGGTGGGCTGGGGCTGGGAAGGCAGGAAAGAGAGATGTCTTTAGAGAAGACGAAGACGGGCAGACAGGGCCCCACGGGCAATGCTCTGCAAATGCAGTTTCCCAGACGTGATGATGCCTTCCTACTCCCGGAACCCCTGGTCCTGCGTCTTCTTCATCGTGTACCTCTCCATCGAGCTGTACTTCATCATGAACCTGGTGAGTGGCCGTGTCTCGTCTCCGCTGGCGGCAGCTGCCACAGTGCTGGGTGCCATGGGCATGGAAGAGGAGGCTCCGCATCGGCATGGACTGGGGGTGCCAGGCTGTAGTCAGGTGTGGTGTGGGGGCCAGCATGGCAGCCTCCCTGGGTTATTCCCGTCATGGCTGCTGATGGTGCTAATGTTGGAGCAAGGCTCCCCTGGGACCTTTTCTTTCTCACCGCAGACATATAACAACTGTTAAAGCTGGCACCGAGTAAGCCTCACCCAGGCTCTGTGCAAAGTGGATTAAATGATTTAACACAACAGCCCTGGAGGTCCCTTTATGATTCTCAGTGTGCAGATGGGGAAACTGAGGGTCGGGTGGATAGAGTGAGAGGCCCACGGCTGCGCAGCTCGGGGTGGCCAGGCGAGCTGGTGTGATCCAAGCCCTGCTCGGAACCGCTTGGTCCTTCGGCACCCACGTCCTGGAATATCTTGCGTATTTCCACCCCGTTTATCACGAACCACTGGAAGTTCCAATACAGGACACACTGTTAGGGGCAGGGGAAGTCCCCGTGCACACTGGGACTCTGGAGGCATTCGAGGAGGCGCGGCTGGCCACCAGGCATATTCCTGCCATTGGCCAATCACCGTTAGGCAGGTGCCAAGACAACACATCAGCACCAGAATTACCAGGGAGAGGCTCTTACTAATCTTGTGTTTTTATGCTTCTGAGGAGCATTCTCACACCAGGCATCACAGCCAGGCCCGCGGTAGAAGACACTTGCTCACCCTAGCCAGTTTGGCTCAGCGGATAGAGTGTCGGCCCGTGGATTGAAGGGTTTTGGGTTCGATTCTGGTCAAGGGCATGTACCTTGGTTGCAGGCTTGACCCCCAGCCTCAAGGCGTGCAGAGAGAAACCAATCGATGTTTCTCTCACATTGATGTTTCTCTCTCTGTCCCCCTCCCTTCCACTCTCTCTAAAACACAATGGAAAAATATCCGCAGGTGAGGATTAAGAAAAAGAAGAAAATGCTTTCTCAGGAGCAGACATGTGAAATCTAAAAGTGTGAAGTCTTAAAAAGGAATATTTTTTAATCCCTCAAAACCAAAAAGAAATATGTTAGCTATCTTCATACACATTACAGTTCTTATATACCGTCCTTAGTTTAGAATCATAACAACGTATTATGTGTAATTGATTTAATTTGTTGTGAAAATCCCGGGTGGGGGGTCTGTGAACCGCAGCCTGCTGGCCAAAGCCTGCACTCGTAAATAAAGTTTTATTGGCACACAGCCACGCCCATTAGCTTCTGCATCCTCTGTGGCTGATTTTGTGCTGCAACTGCAGAGACCATCTGGCCTTCAGAGCCTGAAATAGTTGTTGTCTGGCTCTTTATGGAAAAGTTTGCTGACCTTTTCTTGACCGAAAGGAAAAAAATTGGAGGGGGGGCCATTTGAAGGAGTCGAAAGGACAGGAGAATTTCCCTCAAAATATTTTTGAAAGAAAAAGAAAGTGCTTCCAAAAAGGCTTCTTTCAGATTCGGCTCCCGCCCTCCCTCGCCCTCTGGTGATGCAGGCTGTGCGGTGAGCTGACCTTGGGATTGGGCGGTTCCGGAACGTTGGGCCCTCGAGGAAGGCCTCCTGTTCCCGATTCCTGGGGCCAGTGCACGAAACTGTGACTCACCAGGACGGGAACGAGGGGGCGAGGGGGAGGCAGGCTCCATCATGCTGATGCTCCTCCGAGCTCCGGGGCCAGGAGGGCACAGGATGGACACAGCCTCCCAGGCCTTCGGCCATTGGCCACCGGCCATCAGACTGAACTGACTGGGGCATAGAGCCCAGCATGAGCTTCCTTCCCACCTTATAAAACTGCCCAGTCAGGGACGAGCTGTAGGTGAAGTACCCAGGGAAATGTAACGTTTTCGTGTGTCTGAAGAGAGAAAATTTACAAGTGGCGATACATGGCCTTCCTCTTTGACTTGGAGACAAACTCCTGCGAAAGGGTTACCCCAACCCTCTCCCCCTCCCTGGGTCAGGGCGTGGGGGGGCGGAGAGTGCCCTCTAGAGGCAGAGGGTACACTCCCGACCCCTTGAGGTCCCACCGTGCAAGGGAGCCAGGTCTCTGCTCTTCCCTCACAGCTTCTGGCCGTGGTGTTCGACACCTTCAACGACATCGAAAAACGCAAGTTCAAGTCTTTGCTGTTGCATAAGCGAACCGCCATCCAGCACGCGTACCGCCTGCTCATCAGTCAGCGGGTAGGGGCGTGGGGCCAGGCCAGGAGGGGTTTGGTCCCCAGTCCCCCTCCTTTGCCCTGGGCAGCCCCTAAGCATGGCAGGCCAGCAGCTTTAGAAACAGGAGTCCTTGCCCACTGGGTGTGGCTCAGTGGTTGAGTGTTGACCTGTGAACTTGCAGGTCCCCGGTTGGATTCCCCGTCAGGGCACATCCCTGGGTTGTGGGCTGAATCCCCAGTTTCTCTCTCATCGATGTTTCTATCTTTCTGTCCCTCTCCCTTCCTGTCTCTCTTAAATCAATAAAAACATATTTTAAAAATAGCCCTAGCCGGTTTGGCTCAGTGTTAGAGCTTCAGCCTTCGGACTCAAGGGTCCCGGGTTCGATTCCGGTCAAGGGCACATGCCCCGGTTGCTAGCTCGGTTCCCAGTAGGGGGCGTGCAGGAGGCAGCCAATCAGTGATTCCCTCTCATCATTGATGTGTCTATCTCTCTCTTCCTCTCTGAAATCAATAACAAAAAGAAAATGAAAATAAAGCAGGGGTCCCTCCCTTGGGAGGATAAGAAGGAGCCGGGCACCCGGGATCCAAGCCGTGCTGGGCAGCCGGAGTCGTCGCCCCCAAGGGAGGAGGCAGTGGGGCTCTGCCTTTGCCTGTGTTGACCTGCCATCCTTCCTCTCCCCCAGAGCCCCGCCGGCATCTCCTACAGGCAGTTTGAAGGCCTGATGCGCTTCTACAAGCCCCGGATGAATGCCTGGGAGCGCTACCTGACTTTCAAGGCCCTGAATCAGAGCAACACCCCTCTGCTCAGGTAAGAGTGCCGGCCAGGTGGGGGCGCTGTGGCCCACGGAGGTATTCAGGGGAGGGAGCTGGAGCGGCCAAGGCACCAGGAGGTAGGTGGGCAAAGAGCCTGTTAGAACAGTGGTTCTCAACCTTCCTAATGCCGCAACCCTTTAATACAGCTCCTCATGTTGTGGCGACCCCCCCAACCATAAAATTATTTTCATTGCTACTTCATAACTGTAATTTTGCTACTGTTATGAATCATAATGTAAATATCTGATATGCAGGATGTATTTTCCTTGTTACAAATTGAACATAATTAAAGCATAGTGATTAATCACAAAAACAATATGTAATTATATATGTGTTTTCTGATGGTCTTAGACGACCCCTGTGAAAGGGTCGTTCAACCCCCAAAGGGGTCGCGACCCACAGGTTGAGAACCGCTGTGTTAGAGACTTTAGTTTTCGTCAGGATTCTCTCTGCAAGTGACAAAAGTTCCACCCAAATTTAATTCGGGCTCACTTGACAAAAAATGGAATATATTGGATCATTAAGTAGACTGACCCAGCTGCTCACTTTTGATCTAAGAATGAGTGGGGTTGTTGCATATGAGCAGGTCCACAGAGGGGTGTTCGCACCCTCACACGCACACACACACACATATGCAGGCATGCACACACGCACACGCACAGGGCAGTCTCGACCTTCTAGATGGCTGCTGACCGAACCCTTCTTTTTAGTTTCAAAAGAAGCAGGCCAGCTGCAGATATGAGCATGAGTGAGTTGTTTGGGCTGAAGTCTCAGCCCATTTGTCCCATTAAGTTCTCTGCTAATGGAGCCTCAGCCCCGTCCATGTAAGAGTTATAATGATTCAGGGGGCCTGAAGCTGTCACTCAGTTAAACTGAGAGGATTAAGTATTCATAGGGCCTGGGGGAGGTCAGAATGCCTGCAGGGGAGGCTCCTCCCTCCCCCACTTACATGCTGGGACTCCCAGCCGTCCCCTCCCCCTTCCCTCCTTCCCCCTTCAAAGGTGACCACAGGCAGGCGAGTGACACAAGTAAAGCTCAGTGGGAGCGTTCTGATTTTGTAAATTTTGTTTTGCCTTTTCCTGTTGCTGTGACAGCCTGAAGGACTTTTATGATATCTATGAAGTCACCGCCTTGAAGTGGAAGGTAAGACCAGAGAGGGAGCAGGTGGACAGCTCCACGGGGGGATGAGGCTGACAGGCACCCGAGGGCCAGTTCTTTTTTTATTTTTAAAATATATTTTTATTGATTTCAGAGAGGAAGGCAGAGGGAGAGAGAAACATCAGTGATGAGAGAGAATCATGATCAGCTGCCTCCTGCACGCCCCACACTGGGGACCGAGCCTACAGCTTAGGCATGTGCCCTGACCGAGAATCGAACCGTGACCTCCTGGTTCATAGGTGCTCAACCACTGAGCCACCACGGCCGGGCCGAGGCCCAGTTCTTTCCTGGCTGGAACAACACCTCAGTCTGGGCACTTCAGGGAGCCCAGGTGGCCCGGGCCCCCCATCTGCCTTTACACGTGTGATACAGTGTCCTGGTCACAGGCACTGAATCTCGGCCCCATTAGTCACCCTGTGACTTCGGGCCACTTATCTGACTTTGGCCAGGTTGTCGCACCTGGGAAATGGGCTAACAGTAGTTCTGACCTCCAGCTCTTTTCAGGACGATATAAAATAAGGCACGTGCGTGGCCCATGGAAATGATCCGTAGCCATTGGCTGGCCTTATTGTTACTTAGACCCGGAGTGTTCTTCCTGTTCCCCAAGTTAGAGCCTGGTGAGCAGGGAAGGACCGTGGCCTCCTGGCCCCCAGGGTCAGGTTCTCATCCCTGGTCCGAACCCCTCTCCCACGGCCCTGTTTCCTGAGCAGGCGAAGAAGAATCGAGAACACTGGTTCGATGAGCTTCCCCGGACAGCCTTCCTCATCTTCAAAGGTAAGGTTCCCCCTGAAGGTGTGTTATGGCGGCAGGAGAGTGTGATTCCCCAGCAGGGACATAGTGTTAGGGACCAGGAAGGAAATCGGCAACTTCAAAACCAAACCAAAAGACGTCTGTGGACTATCCAGTTCATTAAAGGAAGTTTACCAAGTCTGATAGCAGAAGACCATCTCCCACCCAGAAATAACCACTGTTCATGTTCTGATGTGTTGCTTTCTGACATTGGTTACTTTTTCTGCACATTTTAAAATCGTGGGACTGCAGTATGTATTCTGTTCTGAAACCTGCCTTTTTATCGGCTGGTGTATTTTGCCCTTCCCCCGTGGCAGGGTGTAGACCCAGTGTACGTGATCCCTTGCGCAGTATAAAATTCAACCATTTTACATCCGAGTGCCCGTATTGTTTACCTGACAGTCCCCCCTTCACTTAAGGCCAGTTTTGAAGTTGTACGTGGGGGTGTGAGCTCACGGAGTTTCTCGTGTAGAAAGCCCGAAGCCTGGGTCTGGGCCGCCATGAATACGAGTAACGATGGGAGAGCCTTGTTTGTGATTTCTCCCACCGCTGGGGCGATATCTGATATTCTCTCACGGGTTTTCCATTCTGCTGAGATGGTAGTGACTCAAGTGGATGAGGAAATGGTCCCAGGCCGAGGCCTGCGGGATTGTAGGTTTCAGCAGTGGCAACAACGCCGTGTTCTGTTCTGTCCCGGCCTGGGTTGCCCAGTCTGTCCCCAGAGCAGCTGTGGTCTGTGCCGCTGTGTCCGGGTGTCTGAGTGTCATTGGCAGAACAGGCCCTTCCGTTTTCTCCCCTGGACATCAATACCCTGGTGGCTTACGTGCACGCACTATGGAGTCAGGGAGCGCATACTTGCACATGAAGACTTCGATGCTAACATTTCCTCTCTTCCAACAGGAGTTAACATCCTGGTGAAGTCCAAAGCCTTTCAGTATTTCATGTGTAAGTGCGACCCACCCAGCTCTGGGCCCTCTGCTCCCGGGTCTCACTCCTTCAGAGGGTGGGAGGCCGGAGATCGGTCCTACAGTCGCCGTGTGGACTGCTCATCGTAGAAAGTTCCGGGGGACGTCCACGTGCCCAGCACCCAGTCGAGGCAATTACCACCCAGTGGCCAGTCTTTCTTGTGCACCTGCGCCCTCACTTGGGCTCGCTGTACCATCTAGGCCTGGAGTTTTGGAAGCAAATTCCAGAACCACAGGGTGTGATGGGTGGATAAGTCACTTGGGTCTGTTTTAATCTGTAGGTTCCTCCTCCATCCCTCTTCTCCCTCTGGCACTGTGTAGTTGAAGAACCAGGACTGTTCCCTTTTCCTCTTGTTTGTTTTTGCATATCCCCTGTGACTTATTTCCGGTAATTTTACATCTTGTCACCTCCCCCAGTGGGCACCTTTTATCATGGCTTATTCATCCATGTTTTAAAATCTCTGAATGGGTGCATATATATGCATATATCTCTGTCTTCAGTAAACAATAGCAGACTTTACACACTTTTTTTTGGTTAATAATAAATCCTGGAGACCACGCCACAGTAATATATAGAGATGTGTCCCCCCCCCTTTTTTTTATAGTTGATAGGCCATCTTTTTTTTTTTTTAATCTTCACCCAAGGATATGTTTTCTTATTGATATTTAGAGAGAATGGAAGGGAGAGAGAGAAAAACGTCAGTGTGAGAAGCATTGATTGGTTGCCCCTCGTACACACCCCAACTGGGGTTCGAACCCACAACCTTCTGATGCACGGGATGGTGCTCCAACCAACTGAGCCACCTGGCCCGGGCGGGTGCACCTTGTCATGACCGCATCGTAGTTTATTCCACCGGCACCGTCCTGACCACCTGGGTGCGTTCTGATGTTTTGCCGTCACAAGTAGTTCTTGAGCGAACAGCTTTCTGGGTACCTGGTGCTGTGTGTTTGCTGGTGTCTCGTTGGAATGGGTACCTGGTGGTATGTTTTTTGCTGGTGTCTCGTTGGGATGGGTTCCTAGCAGTGGGATTGCTCAGTGAAAGGCCAGATCCATATGCATTTTGCTAACTATGCAGTCATTTTAAAAACCAGACATCTCGAAGGAAAAACAAATTCTTCAATACTCAAACCCTTTGTGTATTGTCCATCGTTGATACTGACTTAGAGTAATAGGTTTTACTGAAACATCTTAACTGGTATCCCTGCAGTGACAGAGAGGGCGCTTTTAGAAATTCGTAGCTATTTCTGAGCGAAACCAGCAGTTGATTTAGCTCACGTGGTAAAAGCACTAAGCAGTCACTTGTCCCATGGGTGTGTGGAGCGGCCCAGAAATTGACCAGGTGTGACCTGTAGGTTTCCATGCAGGCCTGTGCTTCTCTGTCTATTGCAGACTTGGTGGTGGCAGTCAATGGGGTCTGGGTCCTCGCCGAGACCTTCATGCTGAGAGGTGAGCCGGCTGGGGGCCTGGCCCGCCCGTGCGCACGCCTGGCCTGCCTCTTGAGCTGCGGCCTCTCTGTCCTACAGGTGGGAACTTCTTCTCCAAGCACGTGCCCTGGAGTTCCCTCGTCTTTCTCACTAGTAAGTCTCTTGTTTTGACTTGGCTTTGCCACCAGCTTGTCTTAAACTCCGGTGGGAGGACGTTCATTGGTTTAGGACCTCGTGGCTCTGAAACGGGGAAGCTTCAGGAAGCAGAAACTGGGTCTGATTCCATCCACCCATTTCAGACTCTCCCCTGGCTCCTCTGTCCTCCATCAAATCTCCATCCCGGCGTGCTCACGTCCCCGGCCGAGCGGGGTCCCTCGGCCACCCGGGCCCCACCCTGCAGCCCTCCTGAGCAGTGCCCTGCTCCCGAGTGCCCCGTGCCCTTTCTCACCTCAGGGCCTTTGCGCGGGTGTTCCTCCGCCTGAAGGACATCCCCCTCCTCCTCCTATAACCCTGAGGGCGCTGTGTCATCGCCCACTCACAGTCTCCTCCTGTCTGCACTCTGAGCTCTGTAGGAGTGGGCACTGCACCGTGCTGGTCACTTTTGCATGTCCAGCACCCAGCACAATGCCTGGCACCGAAGAGGTGCAGGCAGTACCTGCTGGGTGGACAGAAGAGTGGCTGGGCCCTGCCCAGAGAGGGGGAGGGAGTGGAGCCCATACTCTCCCGTGGGGCGTGGCTGTCCAGAGGGCGCACAGCCTGAGGGGGAGGCTGGAGACCTCAAGGGTCTCAGAGAGGAAACTGAGCCAGGCCCGGTGTGGGAGGACACGGCCAACTGCCCGCTCCTGCTCCTGTTCACAGTCTACGGGGTGGAGCTGTTCCTGAAGGTGGCCGGCCTGGGCCCCGTGGAGTACCTGTCCTCCGGCTGGAACCTGTAAGTGACAGCATCTCTGAACCCCGCCTTGTGGGAGCCCCCACCCTCCCCACCCCTACAGGAGGGTGCGCGGCCAGGTCATGGCCTCTCCTGCTGCCTCGCCTGTGGCTCTGAGACTCCCAGGGCTGGGCTCTGTCTTCCCCTCGGGCCACCTAGCCCGTCCCTTCCTGCACACGCCCCCGGGGCCACCACGCCAGCCCCTCCTGCACACGCCACGGGGTCCTGAGGCTGGTGGGCTCTTCGTGAGGCCTTTTTAAAAAAATATATATTTTTATTGATTTCAGAGAGGAAGGGAGAGTGGGAGAGGGACAGAAACAAACATCCATGATGGGAGAGAGTCATGGGTCGGCTGCCTCCTGGACGCCCCACACTGGCATCCAGCCGGCAACCTGGGCATGTGGCCTGACCAGAATCGAACCGTGACCTCCTGGTCCGTAGGTCGACACTCACCCACTGAGCCACACCAGCTGGGCTCTTGCTGAGGCCTCACCCTCCACACCGTCCCCCACACAGCTAAGCCCTTTTCCATAAAACCATGCCGCCCACAGAAGGCAGGCCCACCGCCTCGCCAGGCCCTCCTCCCTGCTCCCCTGAGGCCTCACGCGGTCCCTAGTGGCCCCTTAAAGAGGCCTCCCTGTGAAATCAGGCTACACTCACAAGGCCTGT